CATAAACATGGAATTCCTTTATAGAATGCAGTCAGTATATTCTGGTCGTTAGTGGCGACCAAATGGATTGGGTGGCTACCTTGGGTTTTGAAAGTTTTAATTTTATAGTAAAAAGCATTTTGATGGATTTACTCCCATCTGTCATTCATCCTATTTTATACTACACTGTATGTTTCCCAGATGTACTAAAGTGGGTGGGCAGGGGAAATTAGGTGCACCCCTACAGGTGTAGAGGTACAGTCCACAGAGTCCTGTGGCGTGAAACCTAAACCACTCACTGTGTTATATAAGAAACGCGTCAGTATAAGTGACAATATTTTAATACATTCCTCCTTCCATATGCATCCGTACATGAAACAGTCAGTTAAAAGGCTAGGTCAACTGCTTTAATCGTAAACAAACATATATAAATATTGTTATTTATATTCTTAAACATACTTTGTAAAACAATCTAATGCAATAAGTACACTTGAAAAGAATACTGAAAAACTGTCTGATAATTTGTCATCCTTGGAAAGTTTTAGTTGAATGTCACAATTTGAGTTATACCCCTGTCATCATTTTTTAAGGATAGATTTGTATTCTTTATCCACTGACCACATGTCTAAATGTTATCAACTGCTGCGAGAAGAAACGAACTATCATTGCTACACTGGCTTTAACCAAGAACCAAAAATCTCCGTTAATAGGGTTTTAGGGATCTTACTTGTAACCAGTCGGATAGACTAACGCTTAGTCTCTGAATATATAATTTTGAAAGTAACAAATAAACCCATTTAAATTGAAAAGGAGCCCCAGTCACATTGGAAACTCAGGGTCCCGAACCACAAAGCGTTCGTAACGTTACGACCTGTCGTAACTCTATAGTTTATCATAGGCTGACGAATGTCGTTGCGCTACGAAAGTTTCGTAGATCGGGACCCGAAACCTGAACCTGGGGATACTAGACTTGCTTCTTTTAGGGCTTTTAGCATTTCAGGGAGGGCTGGGCATTTGGGAAAATAATGTGGTTCAGGGACTGTGAGACAGACTACCAGTCAGAGTGCGTTGACTCATAAGCCGTTTGTAAGCTCCAAGTTAAACTGTTTCACGCGATCTCAGCCGTTTTAGTTGAAGACAGGAGTCCAAACAATAATTCTTTGTTGTCTGTTGCATAACAAACACATCAGTATGTCGTAGACGGGAGCTGATCTACATACTTCAGAGACCAAATCCGTGTTATGCAAGCCGCCATTACGGGGATCTGTATAGCGCAACACGTGAGAATAAGCAACGTTTTACGTAACACCATGGTCGACCACACTTCGAAGCCGTTCTTTTTGTTCAATGTCGTTCACCGTCAAATATTTCGTGAATGCAAATTTTGTAATGAAACTGGCCATCTCTCGACACTGCTATTTGAAACTTCAAGGTGTTGTAATTGTTCACTTACACAACGACTAGCTTGTCATTTCCTGCTTATGTCTATCCACGCATTTTATTTCAGGACGCGGAAGGCTATTTTCTGATGACGTTGTAGGAGTGGGTTATGTCACACAAGAAGTGATGTGTAGAGGATTGGTGTTTAACGTTTAAGCGGCAAGATTACTGCAACGTGCATCCCTGTGGTTGTGTGTGTGTTTGTGCAGGCGTGCGTGTGTGCACGTGTGTGCTCGTGCGTTTGCGGTCTAACGCTGTTCTTAAGCTGTGGGTTTATTGTACTAACCTACCGAGATACCATGTCGAAGTTGTAACATGCATACCCAGTTTAGAATGTTTATTATGTTTTTCAAAGTCACTAGAATCTTTCCTATTATTAAAGCTTAATTATTATATAACGGCTAAACACGTAAACGGATTTATTAAAAGGTTAAAGGCATCACAGGATATTGGGTTTGTTTGTTGTTTAACGCCACGCTCAGCAATATTCCAGCTATATGGCGGCGGTCTGTAAATAATCGAGTCTGGACCCGACAATCCAGTGATCAACAGTATGAACATCGATCTCGGGATACGATGGGATACGATGACATATGTCAACCAGGTCAGCGAGCCTGACCACCCGATCCCGTCAGTCGCCTCTTAAGACAAGCATGGGTTACTGAAGATCAATTCTAACCCGAATCTTCACGGGTGGTATTCTGTACAAACCAAGTCACCTTGACTGACCGCCTAATCAAGGAGCCTGGTTCAGACTACATGCATTGCTGGACCTATTCTTACCCATCACGACAAGCATGGGCTACTAATTCTAACCTGGTGATAAGTATCACTATAGAACGTTTGCTTCCAGAGATGCAACCCTCACTACCTCACAAGTATTTTTGCAATCAACAGTATGCAACAAGATCCAAGTGTCAGAAGAGGTATGGTGAAGTCTGACCAACACAGAACATGTTTAGAGTAACAGTAGATAAGACTTTGTTTGGGCAGTTTAACTCTGTTAGAAATAGTGAGTGGGTGAGTTTAGTTTTACGCCGCTTTTATCAATATTCCAGCAATATCACGGCGGGGGACACCAGAAATGGGCTTCACATATTGTACCCATGTGGGCAATCGAACCCGGGTCTTCGGCGTGACGAGCGAACGCTTTAACCACTATGCCCCACCGCTCGATGTTAGAAATAAATATCGTGAGTTATGCAGACCAAGAAAAGATCATACGAAGGCTATTAAGGTACTTTTAGTTTACTCCCGGGATGGTAATTCCGAAGTATTTCGTCCAACCTTAGGTAATGTAGCTCTAATAGAACCTTTACGAGTGCTTCAACAACGTTGCAGTAAACGATGGATAAAGTACTTAAGCTAGGTTTTAAACATTCAATAAACAGTTTCCTATGTTGAATTTGTTGACTTTGCCCCAAACGTTTCAAAACAATGTTTATAGCCTTGTGCCACGATATTCTTTAACCAGGACGATGGTCTGAGAGTATTTTATTTCCATTACACAAGAAAAGTGGTTTACATGATGTGATAAACTACCGCGCTATTTCCTTATTGGACATATGGGGGAAAATATTTACGTGTGTTATTCATAATAACCGTTTAATGCATATAACAGAGACATTTGATTTGCATCCTGCGGATCTTCGCCGGTTTTCGCAAAGGTTACTCCACAACAGAGAAGAGTTTGTTTTCTGAAGTCTTATTCTGGTATATTTATCAAATTCGAAAACTGTATTTTATTGTGTATTTGTTGAAAAGATTCGGTAAGCTTTCTATTCCGTTAATATTTGTTTAATGGTCTGTTTGCTTCAAATAATGTTCATGGTAGTAGGTTAAATATGATAAGAATTATGTACTAAAAAATAAAGTTAAGGTATCAGAATGTTCTATATCTAAACAATTTGAGTGGCAAAATTGTATTTTAAGTCCGTTCCTTTTATCTCTATTTTTGTAAACTAGTTACAGTCAGATATTAAACAAAAGGGTGGAAGAGGTAATTTTATTAGGGAAGAATTTGCAGAACGTTTTTGTTATTTTATGCAGAAGATTCATGTTTGTTTGCACATAGTGTTTTCCCTTTTCATCATTAAAGTTGAAAAGCTTCTTTTACGTACTTCTCATCAAGATTGAATGCATTTCACCTATATCTTGTTTAAAAAGTTTGATACACAGGTAAGCCATTCATCTAATATGCAGCTGAAATTTGTGGAAAGCAATCTTGGGTTACATTGGAAATTGGTGGGTGCGGTGTGCACGTCTTGCATCGGCATCAGGCCCACCACTCTTAAATTGTAATATGTACCTGGTTGCTAAACAGAATTCCTCGTCTATCGGTGTCTGTATTACATTTTGTTTGCTTATTTATTCTTTTTTTTTATGTGCGCCAAAGAACATTAACAAACTTTGTCGACGTTCAATCCCACCGCATCATACAATCATAATGACCCTGTTTTTCAGTGGACCTGTGAATTTCGCAGAAGCGCGTTTTCGACTAAGAGTGATTATTTTAAGAGCGCTTCTGAGAACAGGTTTCGTCCGGACAGACTTGGTTGTCGCGCAAGGGACTTCAGGCATGGAGAGTGTTAATCATGGTCATCAACTTGGGGTTGGAAAGGTGAGGTGAAATTGGGTTTAACGTCGTGCTTGAGAATATTTCGCTCATATGACGACGTGCATGCGTGTGTATGTGTATGTGCGGCTGCTTGTACTAGCCCAGACTTAGGCTGGTTTTATAGTGCTAGCCCACTGAGATACCATGCCGCAGTGAAGCATGAATACCCCACTCAGACACATTATACTGACTCCTAGCCGACCAGTCCTTGTTGTACCCACTAATGCCGAGCGCCAGGCAGGGACCAACAAGTACCATATTTTAACGTCTTTTGGTATGACGCGGTCGGGGATCGAACCCGCCACCTTCCACTCTCCGCGGATGCTCTAACCACTACACCACGGAGGCGGTCTACAAAATTAAGAAATTGCATCTAAAAATTGTGAAATGCACACCTTTAGAGTCCCTACAAAAGACATGTAGAAGTTCATTCAATTCTGTTGAGCAGTTTCTGTGGAGAAGTGGATAGACTTCATCCCCTGTTACACTATCATCATAGAGAAATTCAGCAAAATGTACCCAAGTTCAAATGTCTCTAAACTTACAAAAAAGCACAATAAAATACAAAAACAAAATACGAGAAGCACACCATTAGAGTCCCAAGAAAGCCCATGTATAAGTTCTTGAATTCCACAGAGCGCATTTTTTTGTGGAGAAGTGGATAGAGTACATTCCCTGTTTCAGACTGACGGAAACCCTATATGCCCCCAGCCATATATAGCGGGGGCATAAAAAAGATACCTGGTTCAGAATATATGAAACTGAATTGAGTGTCGCGCAAAACTTTTCCATAAGTATATTGTCCTAATGTTGCAAGTAATGTAATCCTGTTTATCTTGCATTTCACACTTTTGGGACTGTCATGGTTCCAATAATCCACTCTCATCATTCAGTATTACCCCAGCTTGTGAAGTTCGACAAAGAACAATTCAATTCTTACCCCCAAAACAACACAAAACACATATTATTTAGTTACTGGTTTTATTTCAACCATTGCTAACATATAGTTTAGAAACAGACACCTAGCTACATCCATACATCGCCCAACTGTTACCAGTCAGTCTTCCACTCTCGCCCACCTCACTAAAATCACAAGCTTAAGCCAGGAGAAGTATACACAAACTGTACAGAGATCTTTATCTTATAATCTTACTTTTTACAAAAGTTGCTAGAACCAGCAAGAGCTTACAAAGGCTTCCATTTACACTATGTACAATAGTAGCTTCATAGGTTGCACACTGCATTGGTTGTGGAGCAGTTTCTCAACCAAATCAGACAACACTAACATCAGAGGAGCTTGAGTAATTTCTCCACACAGGGAGCTGACATAATGACCTTGCACTGGGGAAACATACCATGGGCTATATTACACTTGCACTTATCAACGATTAATGTTTATTGTGTACAATGATATTGGAAATGGCAACATTGACAAAATGCAAATTGACATGATGGCTTAAGAATTATAATATATGGGTGGCTCAGTTGAATGGAAACGATGTAAAAATACCGAACTGAGAAACTCAGTATCAATTTTGTAGAGGAAAGGTATATTAGTCACTATGTAGTTTACTTCAAATGGTTATGAAATACAAGTGTTCAGTAGTCAATGTTAGTCAAAAGCAAACTTGTATCAGTTCAGTGATCTGTAAAGGTAAGGAAGTAGAAAAGTCTCACTGAAGTTGAACTTCTAACAAATTTAAACATTTAAACTTAAAAGCAACAAACAAAATGGTATGTGAACCATTCCATTAGATAAAGCCAAGGTCAATGTCCATGGCAAACTGTAGGAATAGAGAACAGTAATGGAATTTATTCTGACCCAATCAAGGCATGTAATGACAGAATTTAAGTCAGAAGAGGGGAATATTCCTTGAGGACTTGTTCCTTTCATTTCTAGATCAAGGAGCCCATAAATTTTAACACTGGTTTGAATCCACCTTGGCTACCATGCTAAATTTTGCACACTAAATCATGCTTTCAACTGACCATGTAATGTATATAAGAAAAAAAAACTTCCAAATTTGGCTGAGGATGCATTTTTCACATATACACTACCAAAAATATAGAAAGAAAGAGTAGGTGTCAAAGCAGTTCATTTTGTTTAGCTGATTGGCTTATTTGGGAGGGTGAAACTCTTAAACACTGCACTAGCATGGGCCTTTGATGCTGATAACTTAAGCATCATGATAAGGAATAATAAACTTTAGTTCATACCAAATTTCAACAAGCTGAAAGTATATCCCAAAATTTGACAATCTATGTTGACTACTGGGCTTGCATGAAGTTCAACCTCAAAACTAAAAGTTTTGAGACAATTCTACTCCCATTGTGCAGGATTATATGGTAATATTGTCTAAAAAGAAATTATGGACAAAGTCACTACATAGAAATATGATATACCGGTACTGGAAGAACGATAGTGCCATTTTAAGTCATCTTGAAGCTGTGAGGATGCACCAAATCTACCATATCATTGGAAATACAAACATGCTTCAGTTTTGTAGAAATCAGAACCGGTGATAAATAAACATGGTCTGATAAACTGTAGTGTGAAAAGCATCCTGTGTATATTAACAGCATGTCAGTATTAATAACAATTATTCAGACGACCTCAAGTAACAACAGAGGCCTCCAAGACAATACTAGGATGCAACAGAAAATTGGTTAGTTGTTTATGAAGGGATCCTACTCTCATAGCAACTTGTCCAATATGTATGGGTAGCAGTTTTGTTTTGAAGAAGCATGTGCTTAAAAATTTGCCCTCAATTCCACATTTGGCACAATGGAAAGATTACAAATGCTCCAAAAACATTTTCCTACCATACAGCCATTACATTTCTCCCACAGCTATCAGTTTGCTTCTGTTTTGTTCCCAATAACAAAGGATGTGGGGGGAAAAAAGGAAAAGATGTGATGATTAGATACTGCTCACCGTCACACAAATAAGCACACTTAACTCATGTGAAAACTCTGACATGTCTCTCCCCTTTGGGTTATTTTAGTCTAGGCATACCGAAAAGAACAACGTCTAAACAAAATTCAATGAAATAGATCTTTAATTCTAGTTTTGACCACTAACCACTAATACATTTAATGTACAAGACATTGCTTCAAGAGGAAACTTGGGGCAACATCTCTTTATGATGATAACTGCTTACGCAACCAGATCACGAAGAGTTGGAACAAAACGCTGAACAGGTTGAAAAGTGATTCATAACCAATGTCAGGTGAAACAGGTTCTCTTGAGTCGACAAAATGTAGTCAGGTGTCTTGTCTTAATCCCATCAACAATATTCTTCAAAGATTATCCGTATATATAATTGCTTACAAAAAGAACATTTCTACAGGATTTTCAAACAAATCAAATCAAATAATTTAGAAATATGAAAATTCTTAAAAGATTGAAACAAATCACTTCCCTTTGAAAATATGAGAAGAGAAAAAGAATAATCCCCAAAATCTGCCAAACTTGTAACATGGACAAGAACACTGGATATAAGTGTTAACTGGTATAACTCTGGGCAATGGCAATCCCTTCAAACTTGTCAGTAAGAGATTAACCTGTATAAATAAATTACATGTCGCAATGCCAGTCAGTATGAGCACTGGGTAAAGGATGCTCCAGTCGCTAGCCAGCACAGATAGCACAAAGAGACCAGAAAGGTTAAAAGTTACTTTCTGCCACGCTTAGCTAGGTGTCTTGTACTGACCCGTGCTGAGTCACATCCATAAATAGCAGCAGCAGCCATTGAAATAAACATATCACTAGCACATGAAATGTAATCAAATAACAAGGTCTGGCGAGTCCATTGTTGGTCTGCATGTCAAGAAATTATGTAAAAGATGCTGGTTTGTTTCACTGCTGAAGAACAACGGAACAAGAATTAAATTAAAAATCTAAAACAACTGGGCTGTGTAGAGATTGGTTCATGTTTGGGTGGTGGTCAAATGGGTGAGGCTGCATCCAGCTTTATTGTTCTGTTACAGCCGGAAGGCATTAATGATGGCACAACCACGTAAGCAGATCATGTCTCACTGGGCTTTGAAAATTGATTAGTACAATGACCTTTTCAGGATGAAACTTGGTGCAAAACATTCTAAATGAGGCAAAAGAAGAAGATACACAAAATATGCTTCATATGTAACTAAATGAGTGCTCAATGCCTTGTCAGCAATTTTGCAGCTATTTGTGGCAATCAATTTGGTGGACAATGCTGAGCTTATTGTACATGGATGTCTCCTTGCTTATTAACATCTTTGGTTCAAGTTTCTCAGTGCACAACATAAGACGAACAGTTTTTAATAAATCAACAACCATTAATCAAAGCATAACCGTAACATACATCTCGGACGCTTACGCTGCAGCCTTCACCTCTGACCTATGACCCACAGACCTCTCCTACAAGAAGCCCTTCCAGTCTAACAGTGTTCCCAGTTGCACTTCGACACATATGACTGTCGACTCCCGACCCACAATGTACGACTGCTACTTTTCTCAACTCGAGGGTTGATAGAAGCAGTCAGGAGCGTCAGAACAGCTCTCGTCTGGACATGCTTGACCTCTGACCCCTACCCTCAGTCGTCAGCTCAGTGTCAGGATGGTAAGAATGTTGTACCCGGCTTCAAGTTGTCAATTTCACTTATTTGTTTATCCAAAAACAGTATCCTGAAAAACAAAATGTTTACATCAGAATTGTGCTCAAAACTTTTGAATTAACAAAATCATTTGTAAAAGAATATCGATACAACATAGATGCTGACAGCTACTAAGGCAAGTCTCTTCAAATCAGCAAATGATTGTCATAATGGTAATAATTATCAACACTAGTAGTTCCGACAACTCATCATTAGTCTTAGATCTAAGGGAGGTAATTTTGAATTAGCTCCCCTTACAAAGTTCACAACAGAATTACTCATCGTAAGGGTTGAACAAACAATATCTTGGTAGATTTCAGAACATCTGCATTGGAACAACTTTTGATGCTGATGGTTTTAGAGACGCAGAACTGTGCATAAAGTACATGCATCTCACAATACCAACTTAAGAAATATAAAGGTTCTTAAAAAATCTAAAAAAAGAAAGAAGTAAATTTCACACTACAGGAGGATACACAATTTCATTACATCACAGTATCATTTTTTCCCCTGTAATGGTCCTGAAAATTAGTCCCTTGCAGTTTTGTGGATCCCTAATTTGTAGGATCGGGTAAAATCCTGGGATCATTACAGTTCTAAAAGCAGTAACTCAAATTACAAGACTTTACATACAGAATTCATATGTATAACTATATACCCGAAACCTTTTCATAATAAGAATCCAAAGTATCCCCAAATAATTGAATTTCTCAGCCCCATCAGCAGCCAGGGACATGCAAACAATCACCAAAATAATTTCATGTTTAATAACGAAAATGGCCTTTTCCTATAATTGTGACCAAAATGTGCTCAACTGGATGTAATATATTCAGAGTTTCACAGTTTACATAACTTGTAAGATGTCCCCACCTTTGTTCATGTAGTGTGGACTGTATCTCGGCAACCCGTACAAGGGATCGCGCTTTCTTCAGTTCAACCGACACCTGACTACAGTGAAGACTTCCCACATTAAGAGCTTCCTCCATGTAACGATTAGCCTGAAACAGAAAATATGGGTGTTAAGTTGAGTGAAACGTCCTTGAGGTCATACATCAGAGTGAGTATGGTTTTACGCTGCTTTTAGCAATATTCCAGCAATCTCACGGCAGGGGACACCAGAAATGGGCTTCACACATTGTACCCATGTTGGGCATACATTAGAAGCTACAAAATCAGTAATGAGATAATGAGATGGAATATCTAACACTCGTAGGACAGGGTTTCTTACATATCCATTCCTTGGACTCTTAGTGTTCCCAAAGATATCCGAAACTACCTGTGGTGTAGTGTATAGAGCATCTGCCCCTAAGGTCAGTGTTCCAATCCATGACCACTGTACACCCAAGATAAACCCTAAATTATGTCCTGACGTCCAGCTGCCTGGAGCACTGAGAATAAGCATATTGTGTCTGATTGGAGTATCTTTCGACTGAAGTGTGGTATCTAAAAGGACCAACAACAAAAAGCCACATACATATGCATGTGTACACGTCAGATAATCTTAAATGCAAAAAGCAAAATGACAGTGGAAGAGATTTGAGTAACTATTTGGGATGTTATCCTACCTGACGTTCAGCATGATCAGCCTGCCAACCCAAGACGTGACCAATAAGTTTCTCATTGTAGTAGTTGCTGAGTGACGGCGTCAACTCAACAGAGTTATCTTTCTTGATGGAGGCTCCAGAGAGTGCACTTGTGGCAACGGGGAGGTTCTGAGAACTGGTGGTACTAGTAGTTGGACTGTGACTGAAATGATCACAAACAGATGCAATTATATACCTGATTATATATCAAACTGAATGCAATCTCACAAAACAAATAAAACAATCTAGACTCAACAATGTCAGATTGAGTAGAGTCATGAGTTGAGCCCTGTCATTCTGTCTACCCTGCACTATCAGTTTCAGATACTTGTTTTGAGTTAAGGACATAAAATTGCAAATCACTTCACCCACACATATTATAAATCTTGCAGCATTGTGCAAATCGTGCAACAAATATTTTTTTTCGCCATCAGTAGTTTGTTGTTTAATGCCACCCTCGGCAATATTCAAACTATATAACAGTGGTCTGTAAACAATCCAGTCTTGACCCGACAATCCAGTGATCAACAGCACGAGCATCGATCTAAACAATTGGCATGTGATTACATGTGTCAACCAAATCAGCGAGTCTGACCACTTGATCCCTTTAGTCTCTTACAACAAGCATGTTTCTTAAAAAGTCTTTTGAAGATAATCACTACAAACACAATAAGAACTACAGGGCGCTGCTGTACCAAAACAACCTTACTGCTAAGACTACCTTAAGTCTATGTTAAGGTATGTTAAGTTACATTCACCTTAGTGCTAAGATCGCTTTGTACAACGGCATCCAGAAGAACTGAGAATACGTACCATGGACTGACATCCGAAATAGGGCTATCGTGTCCCCCTCCACCTCCGTTCTCTGGGTTTGGGTAGTGAGAGGACGAGGATGTAGCCGAATGTTGCGGATGTTGCTGGTTACCTTGGTTATGTTTCTGCGGTTGATGTGAGTGCTGTTGTTGTGGATGTTGTTGAGGACTGGAGTGTTGTTGGGGGAGATTGTTTTGTGCCCCTGCAGAAGAACAGAAGAACTCACAACCACAAAAGAAAAACTCTTTGCATAATCTGGATCTGACAGCATAATTCAAAGAAAGTAGAACCAAACCAGTGCCATAATTGAACCAAAAAACTGTTAGGTCAGTCAGACAGGAAATACAGGTATTGTGCGATTACAATATTGACATTTGTTTCATCAATCCAATTGTTCCATTAAATCAGATATTACACTTCAGTCAAAACAAACTGATTTAGGAGCTGGTTGTATCTCAAATGAAATGTACTTGCTACACTTTGTATACATGAAGCTTGTTTTGTTATCATGATGCAACCATATTTCAGCAAAATAAAATAGAATTCTCGATTGCTCATTGCTTAAATGGTACAATGTTATCATCAGTTTAAATGTTCAGATAAACCAAACAAAAAATAATAATAATAATAATATTATAGCTTTTAAATTTCACAAATAGGAATTCAGATAGACACTGGAAAATAAAGTTGTCAATTTGCCATTTGGTATAGATAAAATGGACAAAAGCAACAAAACATTCACAAGAATAGTCAACATTTTGATACCCAGAAACATAAAAATCCATGACAACGAATAATTCTAAAAACCAAAACACAAACCAAAATGTTACTAGGCAGGAAAAGAACCCAAGGATAAATATATGATGTTGATGAGCTAGACTACATGAGAAGATACTACACTAGTTGACAACTTACAATTCTGTTGGGTGCGAGCTATGTGCATGTTGAGAGCCTCCTGTAACTTCTGTAAAGTCTGCAGGGCAGCTGGAAGACACAAAGATGAACAGGGTAACCTCTGTTTTACACCTTTGTCTCATCTACTACATTAAAACCTTTTCCATTCTGGGATTTATCCTGCATTACATATGAAGTGCTTCAGAAGTAAATGCTACTTTGACCAATTTGACTACTTATCAAAAGTTTTAAATTTAACACTGAATTCATTGCAATAATGTAAACTTAAGGATAAAAGATTCTTCAGTGAAATAACATGTCACCTCTTTAAAGCCACATGACATTAGTTATAGATACAGCAACATGAATTAGGATTCTATTTTTGTCATTTTGGGAATTGTACTGATATTTGCTTCAGACTTGGTGCAAACTATTGGCCTCTTAGCAGGTCCTGAGAAATTCCTGGAATTACATCTGTTAACTTAAAAACATGCATTCTGTTTCCATTCCATTTGATCACACTGTATTTCAGAGTTGGCAGACCAGTCTATTTTGCAAGAATGCAATGCTGCACATTTTTTAGATACCATATTTATCTTGATAGTTAGGTAAGGATATGATACAGTTCGTGAAACTTTAAAGACTAAAAAGTGTGGTTTTATATCAAGTAGGGATGCCATGATACATCAATACTTTTTCTAAGACGATACAATTATCGATTCATTCAAAACTGTATCGATACTTAGTTTTGAAAGTATCAGTTTAAATATGTTTATCTTTATGTATCATTTACATTTTGCAATTGTATCATGTTTTTTGATGTTATGAGAGTTATAAATGATTATTTTTCATGCACGAAGATGGGAAATTTAAACTTTTTAATCTCTGAGATAAAAAAGAATTGATCTTTTCATGGACAATTATATAATATAAAATATTAAAGTTCAAAATGTAACTAAATTTACACAATAATGGTGCAAAAATAGGTATCGTAATACATATTGAATCGTGACATGGGTATCGTGATACGTATCGATTCATGAAACACCGAGAACAAGTAGGTTTGGTCTAAGTTAACGCTCACCACGTGCTGCACGTGCATTTGTTTCACTGTTCCAACTACTGTGCTTACCCCCTTGCAATACAAACCAATAATAGCGATTTGAATCTATGATCGTTTGTAAAACAACTTTTATCCTAAGATGAATAAAATTCTGAGATTTAAAGGGTCAATTGCAAGGTAAAATTATTAGGATTCTCAAGTTTAATTTCACTTTATTTGATTTACTTTTTTGTTTAAAGTGAAATTCATCGGTACGTTTCCACTGCAAACAGACTATAGTAAGTTAAACATTAAGACCAAATGAAAATGATGTAAAGTGACAAATTCTGGATGGTAAATGTGAAACAATTGCATAGACTTTGAATGTGATAGGCAGAAGTTTTCAGGTGGTTAGTTGCTGTATAATACTGTTTTGTTATACACTAATGCTGACAAAATATGTATCCCATATTATTCCTCGTAAGAATAATGTAACATACTTTATAAACATGAGATTACCTTCACATGTCATGTGAAAAACAATTTGGGATTTGTGTGATATATTTATCATCATTTACAACTACAATATTTTCCTGTCTATTTCAACAAAAAAAAAACCTTTAAAAAACTAATTTGACAACAAATGCTGATGACCTCACTCCTGGAAGGACATCTTTGGTCACTTCAGTACATCGTAACAAGGTAACAAGGTTGTCAACACACCGTCCTACATATCCTTGATTATCCAGCATGTTTTCTCCATTCTATACAAAACACATTTTGAACCCATTCCCAACACAGCTGCATTCTGAAAGTTCATTCATCTTCATCTACATCCCAAATAGCATAGACTTTTTCTCAAACATGAGCTGGAAAACAACCACTGACCAAAATGCCTCTTTTGAATGAAACATTTTTGCTGAAAAAAGTTGTCTTCCTTAGTATAAAGATAGGGAATGAAGTCTTCACACTAACAACACATTCCAGGTTTATCTGAGATGATACGCAACAAATGCAATTAAATGACCTTGCCATTTGTTTCACTCATAAAAACAAAAACAAGTAAATTCACTTGTCAGCTATTTCAAGAATTGTGTCAAAACCAGAGACAGAATGAAGCCATGGTGGCAAATGGACCCAGGGTATTTATCATAATTTAATGGCCTCCAGGCACTTCGAAGCTGAGTGACTAAGGTAAGAAGTGTCCTACCTGTACATGATGATGCCTTGACTCCACGTGAACTGGTGGGAGTACTACCTGGAGAGATCTCCATGTCGTCCGCATGATTAGAATCTGGAAACAGAAGCAAACCTTCAAAAAATGGGCCTATGAAGAATAATCATCTTTTGAATTAAATTTTCAAAACTGAATACTTCATTTCAGTGTCTTCTAACTATGTCTTGTATGTGCAGGTTCAAAATCTGACAGCCAACTCGGGCTCCTTTACAATTTGAATAAAGTTGAAGAATGAGGACTATTTTTATGCATATACAACTTCATTATTCTGTATAGACGACGGTTCGACATAGATTCTAATGTCGTTGTCAAGCAAGTGGTGAATCTATGTTAAAAAATTGCCTATACAGAATAAAGACGTATTTCCATAAAAATAGTCCTCATTCTTTATCTACCCAACTTCTAGAATGCCAATCAAAGAAGCTGAACAAGGTTATTTGTTCCTATTTTCTGAAACTAAATGAAAGTAGGTGTTTAAGGCTGTACTCATCAATATTTCAGCTACATGACTGCAGTCTGTAAATAATTGAGTCTGTAGACAAAGACAAGGCGGTGAAAGTCATCCTTAGACACTGATCTACACAACTGAAATACAATCACATCCATCAACTAAGTTAGTGAGTCAGACTACTTAATTCCAGTTGTCAGTAATGGCCTGAAAATCGTCTTCAATATAGCATCCAATGCAGCCTTGTTGAAAAATCAAATCTCGGGAACAACATTTGGATGTCATCATTAGCGGGAACAAGTACTTGTGTAATTTCATCCTGCTTAGTCCTGTCTTTTCACAGGACATGATGTGTTAATAACAGATGACTTACAAACAAGACACCACCATATATGCTTCCAGACTACACTGACTGACTGAGTTTGGTTTTACGTCGCTTTGAGCAATATTCCAGCAACATCACGGCGGGGGACACCAGAAATGGGCTTCACACATTGTACTCATGTGGGGATTCGAACCCGGGTCTTCGGTGTGACGAGCCAACGCTTTAACCACTAGGCTACCCCACCGCCCCACTTCCAGACTAGATATCAGAATACACAAATGAACACTACAGACTGGTAGTTACATTTGAAACTGGCAGTTACATTTGAAACAGAAAGTGAAACCTCTCGTGTTCACATGGCTAAAAAATGAACATCTTAGTTTCATCCTGCCTTTTCTCCAAGCAGTCTTTACCATAGATCCAATACAGCCAACTTGTTACACAACACAAATTTCAGAAATACTATTACCTCACACTGATTCAAGAAATTAATGTATACTGCAAAAAAACCCCGAAGGATCAGATTTTGGACAAGTTATTTGGTTGAAAAAATGTAGTAGATACATTGGGTACGTTGTACTAGAAAAACTATTTTCATTGAAATGTAGTAGATACATTGGGTATGTTGTACTAGAAAAACTATTATCATTACCACAATATTCATCAAGCTAAAAAGAGACAGATCAGATGGACAACATTTAATTGACTGATGCTTGTTTGGTAAGTCAGTTTCATCAAGAGAATTCATAGGTGAAGCCAATGGCAATGTACAAGTCAAACTGAATTAAGAAAGGCACCTTTACAGCCTTGCACAAACCATGGGAACAGTATATATAACTGTATCGTTACCGCCCATGGGTGGAAATAACCCATTGCCCAACGCCCCAGTCCAGTGTTTTTTTTCTGTCGGGCTAGCAAATTTGTATGTCACTCTGTACCGGTGTCCAGTTGACTTTCCAATGTTAATTATGTTGTTTATTTAAAAAATCAACAAGAAAATCGGCCGGTATAGTGGAAAAATTATAAGGGCAAGTGATTTTACATGGGCCACTGTACCGGAGTACACTAGCAATTTTAAAGTTATTTCCACCCCTGACAGCCCTCAAGATCTGCCAGAAAAGCAAAACAATGGACTGGGAGATTTCAGGCTTCAAATTTATAATTTGTTTCTTTCATCTTTATTGCAAGTTCAATATGTCATACATCTTCAAAATTAGGAATGCCCTATTTAGTGATTGATTTGGGATGATTGAAATGAATTTTATCTAATTCTGCTAAACTGACTTTTACTTCATGTACTGGTTTATGAAATGTACACCTTGATGCTATAGCTTGTTGAATGGATATGGGCTGACTAAAGAGATCAACAATCAGAATTATTGTCCTTTAACAACTATTGAAATGAAACCTGGATCATTGAAAATATCTTACATAAACTATTATGATGAAATAATGTTTAGATTTTCTTAAACAGACTTGTCAACTGGTAAAGAAGGTAAGCAGTCTTCCAGTTATGTTTTTCAAGACTTATACACTACCTACTAAATACGTACTATTTTACGAACTCATACTACTATAGAAGCAAAAACTGAAAACAGTATTCACTGTCTGGTTAAACCTCCCTGAACAAAAGATTGAAACTGGCCTGTATTTCTGTTTGCTTTTTTACAGTTAGTAATTGCAAAATGTTGCAGATAGACGCTTAAATCCAGAAACAATGTCATTGAAAAAACCACACTTTTCACATTTGTGATATCAGTTCTTTCAATGATAGAATGAGTGAATCAGTATGGTTTTATGCAATATTCCAACACAGACACACCAGAAATGGGCTCCTCACATTGTACCCAAGAAGTGGCAAGAATTAATAAACAAATATAGCAAGATGGGAACTGAAACCAATTTAAACAAAATTATTGTGTGAATTTGATAATGAAAGAAATATAGATCTATATTATTTCAAATTCCCCATCTGTAACCTTAGATTGTTACCTTTTCAACAATTCAGAAAATCACAAGATTTAAAAAAGTATATCATACTTCTTTTGGTATTAAAACAATCATATTTACATATTATTTACGGGTCGTCTATAAATTATGTTCACAACATGGTTTTGTCATATCTTAAATGTCAGCTAAGTATTCCATGCATAAATGTGTCACCTCTCAACAGTGACATAAATTTGTTGATTTAAAAAACAATTAATCATTTTACATTTCTGCTCCAAGTTTCTTCTCCAATACGCATCAATAATTTATCAATGTTAGGTTAATTTTAAAGTTTATTTTTGAACAATTTGATCCATATTAACGGCTAGCCCTTGTATGCAGAATAAAAATAGGATACAAAAAGATAATTATCAACATGATTTATGACAGCATCATTAAATGTGTCATGTTAAAATTATGGAAAAGGAAAGAGACTAAATCAAATATTTTTTTTGAATCTGCAAAATATATGGGACAGGAGATACAATATACAAAACATGTTTAATTGCAACATATCCCACTACTGGTAATAATCATCTTCAAAAAAATTAGGTCAAATGAATAGATCCTCTTCTGTGCAAAGTTGTAATGTCTCATGAAATTAACTTGATTACTGGTAAGGAATATATATTGACTATGCATGTTTTTTCCGATTGCAAATAATACAAATCTGAATTCTTGGTAATGCCAAAAAGTGGAACAGTTTCAATTAAAAATAATTCAACAAAATTGGAAACTGCATGTTATTTAATACACTCAAATTTCAGAGTATCAATTCTTGATTTTCTTCCATGTTTCTGAATTTATAGGCATAAAGATCACATATACTATAGGGGGTTAAAAATACATAAATCATTTAGTTGCATCGTTAACACTACTCATTTCGACCTTTAACTTAAATCGACCTTTTTGACAACAATGCACAATTCTCTCCCTCAAACGAAATTTAAACCAATCAGAGGGGCACATCTCTGTGACGTAATGTGAGGTATACATACGAGGGGCGCTTTAGAATTTATGTACATTTCCGGGGGTAAATTTTCTTGTTTATAGGTTTGTCTAAACCTGAAAACGTGACAATTGTTGTGAAAAGATAAGCTTTATGTTTTCGCAATCTACTGTCATTCAATCTTGTCACCTGCTTTGCCAAGCTTCCGAGTTACAACTTGTTTTCATAGATGATTCTGTCAAAAAGGCTTGTGGCTAGGCCTTATTTGTTCGAGCCAGCCGCTCATCACGGTTACAGGAAGAAGATCAACTAGTATCTACATACTGGTGAGTGGACGTTAACCACGTGAATGTAGCAAGAAATTATCGCACAATATTGTTGCTTCGGCCCCCACCTTGCTTCTGTGGAAGAAATTGATTTGATACAAGTTGTGTAATTCAAAATCCTTTTGGTCATGATTCAAATACACATTTAACTAGGCGTAGAAAGTAGTTTTGATTTTCTAACTTGATGAAAACAAACCACAATCTCATTGATTCTCGAACAGACGTCACTATTTTTAAAAATGGCGGTGCCCTCTCGTGAATATCCGCCAGTCTGAGAATATATGCTATTTAGGTTTGTTTTCACTGAGTTACAAAATCAAAACTACTTTCTACTGGTAGTAAAATATGTATTTGATTGATGACCAATGGGATTTTGCATGACACAGCTTATAACATAACAATTTCTCTCTTGAAAGCGAGGTGGGTGTCAATATAATACTACTCATATTATTGTCACTTTGACCACAAGCTCGCTTCCGAGGAAGAAATCGTTATGTTACAAATTGTCATACAAAATCCCAAGCTAACAACAATAACTTAATGGAAAAAAGCTGATATCTGTCCTTAAGTCTGCAGCATGTTAGTAAAACATCCTGAATATGAATTAAAAAAATGACTAATTTGAGAAAAAGGGGCAAATGAATGGCTGGTCAGGCTGACCCGTATAATACCAAAAACAAGACCCATAAAGAAGGCTTTTTGTCAACATTATATCACTGAAAGCAATGTTAAATTTTCTCTAAAATTTAGAAACTTCTTAACATTCAAAATAAATAATACGTCCTTAAAGATCACTTGTCATTGGCACTTAGGAAGCTTAGATAAATTCCTGAACTAATGTGTGTCTGCAGGACAGATACTTTGGTAAATCATGTCTTTAGAAGTGTAACAATATATCATACAATCTGTTGAACAGAGAATGTAGTGTCCCTATATCAAGTGTGTATAAAACCTTTAAAAAGTTTCAATACCTACAACCTGCAAAGGTGCTCTTATCTTGCTGCTTCACGAAAGACTGCACAAAAACAGTCTGCAAAGTAGGCCACTTGTCCAGTAAAATGTCTGGTATAGTAAGATAACACAATGCTAGCCAATAAGCAAAGACTAAATTACACTGAAAGTAATGCCAATATACATTTTGGACTGGCAGACTCAAACAATTTTTGATTTCACTATTGCACAGAGTTGGGAATTGGTTAAAATCTCATAATTGATGATTGGTTCATTACCACCGATCAATCATTGAAAATTATTGGTTAGCGTCATTTATGAAATTTGTTATTGCACACACAAAAAAAAGGAAAAAAACCATGTAGTTATTATTTTTTGTTGTTGCAAAATTTCACATCTTTAAAGGATGACTAGTATGTTAGGAACATAAATTTGTTGGTGTCTTTAAGATAAATTCAATCATGACTTGAAACAAGCTTGTAGTGCTTATGAAATGTAACAGACAAAACCAACCTTGTGAAAAATATTGTTGATGAAAACAAGTGTTCCATAATTGTTTGTGTTCGATTATGAGAAAACATCACAAATTGCTTGGTCGTTTAGTCACTGCGACCAATCTTCAATTATTTCCATTAATCGGATCACCACTAGTCTGAGTCTCATAAAATGTCTTCATATCTAGTCAACTCAGCTAAAATAACACTAAGACATAGTGAAAATGTGCAACATCATGCTCAAAACGCAGTTCAGGGAAGCGATAGGAACAGTAAAATTCAACTCATCTCTACACAAAATTGACCAACTGCAAAACTGGCAGGGTATTTCGTGTTCTAAGTTGTCATATCTATATTAACCTACAGTTCTGAGGACATTGCTAAGAGAGGATATGGAAATAATATGAAATACTATTTTCAAATATTAAATTAATATTGCAGCTTTTAATCGCAAATGCATATCAAGTTGGGCCAAAACATGCTTTTTCTCGGTCCTCAAAAGGAAGTTTTACATGCTGGATAAAATTGTAAAATAAGCCTTTGAAATGATCTAAGAGGTTTGAAATACCTAAATAACTTTCAGAGAGTTATTTGAATCAGACTGAAACAGCAAAGAACTGAGTCACCTACCACAATTTAAGTGAGCATTTATGCACAAGACAAAGTGATTATTATATGGTTACTGGAGCAAGCCCCGAAGGGGTAGAAGGCCATTAAAATGCTGATTAGGATCTCCTTGTTGTTGAGGACGTGAGACCATCCACATTCCTCACTCAGTGTAACAATAATTGGGAAATACAGAAGACTTAAGTACAAGATACATTATAAGTATCACTGCAACAAATCCACTATGCGGCAGATTTGACATATAACATAAATATTGAGCAATGAATATGATTATTGATTAAAACAGTAGCAAGTCAGCAGTTGGTGTATTGTTCATGAAATTCAGTGAAACAATAACAAAGTAAATTCTTAGAAATGTTTGGACTATGCTGACAGTAATAATTTATCACAACCATGACCAATGACCACATACTGTCAAATAAAACATATAAAAGTGTTAACTATTGTCCTGCCTGGGCTGGGCCATATTCCATTGTGCATACACTGCTTTGTTAAATAACATAGCAAATTCAAGTAAAAATCACTCCATTTATAAAAATTCATGAATAATCGATTCCAGTGATCACAAATAAATTGAATTCACCAAATATGAAAACGACTCGTAACTGCCCTAATCATAAGCTCGTTTGTAATGATTGTTGGTTGGTTTGTTGTTTAACACCTCACTCAGCAATATTCCATCTATGTGGCAGGGTAGCAGTCTGTAAATAACTGAGTCTGGACCAAACAAGCAATGATCCACTGCATGAGCATCTATCTATGCAATTGGAATACAACGACCTAGTTTGCAAAGGAGAAATTTGAGATATTTAGGGTAAATACAAAAAAGATTGTGGGAAGAAGAAAACATTGTACTCACCATCATTTTTCTGTGGTGTCGTATGTCCTATTGAGGACCGACTACTCTCACTCTCATGTCTCTGACGCCGACGCATAGGGTCCACAGAAGAGTAAGGATAATTGTTTTTTCTATGATCCGTATAGCCCTCCTTGTATGCTGAGCTATCAGAGGTTGAGTTCGCTCTCTGTAATAAGTTACTAGTCCTAAGGGAAGCTGTGTTCGACACGTCTTTAGAGTACACAATTTTCGGTCTGTCTGTTGGGGAGAACTTTTCAGAGTGTTTGACAGAAGAGTCTGAATTACTTCGGGGGTATTTGTCTGGTCTCTCACGTTCCCCACTAGAGGAATGTTTTGCCCCCGTCATTGGCTGAAAAGGAAAAGCAGTATTAGATAACCAAATTCTTGTGGTGCAGGTAACAATAATCAGACTGGTTTACCATTGATTTGTTTGAATAGTATTGTAGAAGTTGGTGGTATGGAGATGACAAAACTTAATGGATGATCAACTTCTCTATTTTCACATAGGTATTGGTTTACATTCGCTTGGATTACTAAATTCAATCATTTATCATCTTAATTAATCAGTCATGAAATGGTGGTTTATATATGCTGAAAGAACATCTCTGTCTCACAAATAAGTTCAACCATCAACATGATTGTTTACCCCTCACAGCTAGTTGGATGTGACCAGCACACAATAAACAAACCCTGCAATGACTGTCACCTGTGACACTGTATCCTTGTTATGGATTTCGTGGTTAATCTCAAAAGAGTTTGAGGTCACAAGCACAAATTGAGCGTTAGTCAATGTGTACATGTCTCCATTGAATGAGAATCATTGACTGACTGACTGACTGAGTTTAGTTTTACGCCGCTTTTAGCAATATTCCAGCAATATCACGGCGGGGGACACCAGAAATGGGCTTAACACATTGTGCCCATGTGGGGAATCGAGCCCGGGTCTTCGGCGTGTCAAGCCAACGCTTTAACCACTAGGCTACCCCACCGCCCCGAGAATCATTGACAGATTATGAGACAGACATGTGGTACATATCTAAATATGATGCATGTCCCATTTGTTTACAACTTTAGTGAAACCCACAAGCATATGTCGATTACGGTGCTGACCAACAAAGAAACATAATCAAAGTGAAATGGATCTTGAAATAGCTTTTAAGCAAGGCCAAGGGATGTAACTCTGCAGAACGAACTGCAGTGGCTTAGAAACCCCGGAGTCACTCATACTCTGATTTAAACAATTAACTCAACTTAAACCACATTCCTATCAAAGCCAAACTCAGATCAGCCTATTTATATATTTACATAAATCTATCAATATTATTATTAAGAAATATAAGTGAAAAGTTTATTACTAAAAAACAAGATCTAAACCGTAAGAGATCATGAAAAGTGACTATTGAGTGAGTGAGTTTAGTTTTACACCGTACTTAGCAATATTCCAGCTATATGGTCAGCGTCTGTAAATAATCGATTCTGGACCTACGAATCCAGTAATAAACAGCATGAGCATCAATCTACGCAAATGAGATGAGATGACATGTGTCAACCAAGTCAGCAAGCCTACCACCCAATCCTGTTAGTTGCCTCTAATAACCAGCATGGGTTACTGAAGATCAATTCTAACCCAGATTTTCACGGGTAGTGAGCAATGAAACCAACGATTCCCTACAAGGACATACTTGTTAAAGACTGACTTTGAAAAAGGATGTAAAAGAGTAAAGCAACCACTCACCTCTACTTGAGGAGGTTGTAGAGGAGGATGTATATGGCTTGCCAGGAAGCCGTCCATCCTTTGATCTGCTGTTGTCTGGGGTTCGAGGGCTGAAAACAGAGTGAGTGTCAAAACCAATCCAATCAAACAGATGTTATGCTACAAGGAAATATCTTAGCACAAGGTTTCACAATGCTCGAGAGTAATATGTTATCAAACCAACTACAAGGAAAACTGTAACATGTTATATTTGAGATTGCACTTTCTAAGTAAAGTACAGATTCTGTACTTTCTAAATGGCATTGTGTATGTAAAAGGAAAACTACCAGCATAATGTGAAATCAAATGTAAATCGTTATGATTTTGGTGTTAGGGCAGTAATTTGGTTGAACATGTATTTATACATTAAATACATGGGATAAATCATAAGTACTTTATGCAAGCAACACAATTGACTGCTTGCCTTGTACTGGCAAATGAATAATGATATACACCAGTAAATAACTTGCTTTCATTTGGGATATTTAGACATTAAGCGAAATGTCTATCCATCATCAAAATGATGGTGGTTGTGGCAGCATGTTTAGTTCTTTCAAGAAACACAGAAATCTCAATTCATGTACAAGTCCCTTTCAACTTTCTCCCAGTTCACTTCTTGCAGTCTGATAACAACAGAAATAAAACCAAATGTTGTCAGGGTATTGTTCTGGTTTGGTTGTTGTTTAACACTGGACTCGGCAATATTCCAGTTCTATGGCAGCGGTCTGTAAATAATTCAGTGTGGACCAGACAATCTAGTGATCAACATCATGAGCATCACTCTACCCAACTGGGATACGATGACAAGTGTCAACCTACTCTTACAACAAGCATGGGTTGCTGAAAAACAATTCTAACCCGGATCTTTGTGGGTTCAGCTTATGGAATATTCTTTGCTCAATGATTAAGCAGGCATCTTACCTATCAATCCATTCCTTTGGCTTTTCCCACTGAGAGACTTCAGTTCTACAGTTGTAGTAGTATCGCTTCTTGGATGAACTGATGTGTTCAGACCAGTCTCCAAACACTCGTACTGCCGACTTCTGAACCTAAAAGGAGGTAACACATAAAACATTTTAGACCTAAATTTCAAACTACTCGTAAAAGAGAACATAGATGTAATTCTTACTGACCACTGTTCAGTTTGACTGGAAAGACTGACATGAACTGACCTCCGCTCTGTCCTTGGTGTCCTTCTGATCCTTTGTGACATTCTTGAAGGGTCTGTCGTGATTGTTTTGACTGCTGCTCCCTGCTCCACTGTAGGATTGTCCATTCCCCCCCCTCCCCCTCCTCGGCTGCTACTGGTGCTTGTGGACGATGACATTTGGTGGTTGCTCTTCTCCCACTGACCACTGGATCCACCTGACACCAAGAACAAAACACAAGTTAAAACTTGTCTTTGAAATTCCATTTAACAATCTCCTCATGAAGTCAGTGATCAATGTGTTAGAACCATAGTAATCATGCTTGCACAACAAACACAGAAATATAATTAGAAAATGTGCCTTTGTACAAGATGGTTTCAGAAAATACAAGGTAATCATAGCTCTAAATCCACTTTAGTTTCAATACAAGTGTACAAGTCAAATTGGCTTTGTACAAGGTTTTTTATTTGGCCCTGAACTATTATAGTTCAACGTATTATAAACATTAAATGCTTTAACGTTGTAATAGTTCAGAGCGAAAGTGCGCTTTATAACAGTATACATGGTGGTAGAGTGAACTGTATTTTTTCTATGACGGTGTCGCTGGTCTGAATTAGCAATCCTCATTCAAGGCTAAATGATGCACTGTTCTATTGACCTGTGTGCCCCCTACATTAAGGCACATGATACCAGAAAAACAAATGATAAACAGTTTGACCACGGTTTACGTTCAGGTTAAATATCTTCAGTAAATTATGTTAATTACATCATATTGCCCCAACCATATGGGGCAATATGAACGCTGCATTTCTACTACCAACTAAAGTTTAGATCAGTATATCCAGATGAAGCCGACTAGTCACGCGACATTCTACGGATGCATTGTGGGCATGTAAAAATTGCGAACGCTGCCGAGTCGCTTTTTAATTGTGAGTCAAACTGAGAAAAAAATAAAAGTACTGTTTCCACCAGTGATGTTAGCCGAGTGAAGCAACTGCAAACCAAGAAACAGGGTGCTACGGAGTAGTTTACTGTAGAAGGCTGTATGAGGCAATGACAACTGACATGCATCGTGACGTTGGTTACCAGGGGTACGTTTGATTACGAGGTGAAGACAAGAATGGTGCAGTGACGCCAATACATTGTGACGTAATGCAAAAAGTGTACATTTTTGTCCGATAAAGTACCGTTGGCGCCATTGTTCTTTCACAAAAGCATCTTAGAAAAGTATACAGGTGAACACTGTTGAAGTATGAAATTGGGATCGGTTGTAAAGCCCACATGTGCCCAGCATAAGCTGGATGGTGAATATAAAATGTCTAAATCATGTAAGCATTACAAACTGACCTCTGAATTCTCTGATTCCAGTACTAATACCAGCAGGCTACCATGCCAGGCCAGTATCATTTTCTGACATTAACTGTCACTAAAGGTGTGGGTGTGCACGTTTATTGTTTATTTCAACTGCTATATGGCGTTAGCTTGTAAATAATATAGCCTGGACAAAACAGTCCAGTGATACTAAGAAGGTATTCGTGCACATGGCAGGGTTATACATGATGCACAAATGTGCATCCAGTACGTACATATGTAGAGAATGGATGCAGAAGAATCACTTATTCATTGTACCCACAACACATCTATGACTTTGCTAAGTGTTTGGCTGTTTCTTTCTGAGCAGTAATGTGCAGCATTTCATCCATCAGTCCATATGATCAATGATTCATTCCAGGCTCTCAAGAAATTATCAAAAGGTACAGTTCTCTACACTGTTACTTCATAGGACCCTTGTTTTGCCCGCAAGGACCCTTGACACTAATAATTAGGGGTCCCCAGGATCCCCATGTTTTTGAGTGGAGGTAAAACCCTGCATATGGGCATGTTGACTCAACATCAACCAAATCACATAGTACAACCACTCAATCTATTCATCTGCATCTTACGTCCTGCATATTTCAATAAATACATAAAATAATCCTTCACACAGCTCTCATTCGACCAAAAAAGAACAAAACAAAGTGATCAAACCAGTTGAATAATTTTCAAAATATTTTGACACTCACTGTAGAAAAGAAGCATTTTTGAGTAAACATTTCCACCAAAAATCATGTTGGGCGAAAACAGAGTGACAGAGTGGCATGAGTGACATGTGACAGTGAGTATGTGCAGTGGAGGGGTGCATTTGAATAAGATGTTTTTATTGTTCTTGGTGAACAATACACAAACTGTTTCCACAACATCTTAGATGACACATGGGAAAAGCAATGAGTGTGATTCAGGATAAGGAAAAACATTAACATTTGATAAACATGATTGCTGTCCGCCTACCTCTTTTCTCTTTATTCCTCTCAATATAAGAAGACTTGTTCTGATATCGGGGACTCGGATGGCTGCCAGGGACATCTTCTCTGGCTCGGTCATCATGAGAGTCCCGTCCACCTCGCTCGTATCTGTCGTTGAACAATCCCCCAAGACCTTTGGACTGATACTGCATGTTCTGGGAAGAGAAAGAGTGGTGAATGTAGCCTAACACTTTTGAGTGAGTGAGTATGCTTTTACGCCGCTTTTAGCAATATTCCAGCAATATCACGGCGGGGGACACCAGAAATGGGCTTCACACATTGTGCCAATGTGGGGATTCGAACCCGGGACTTCGGCGTGACGAGCGGACGCTTTAACCACCAGGCTACCCCACCGCCCCCTAACACTTTTGAACAGAATATCAGGTGCATCATGAGTGTCAGACTGATATGGGACAACAGTCAAAGTTGATGCAGGTAGTTTCATGCAGAAACTTAAATAGCAAAATCATCAAGTGGAAAGACAGCGAGTGAGTGATGTCTGTTTATTCTTACACCATTTTGAACAGAATTTTGGCTATATTATGTGTCAGCTTCATGTAGGATGAAATTCAAAACTGACATCCGCTGTTAACTAAAATGCTGAAACCCAAAAACAACAGACAATACATCCTCTTCCTTGTGGGAAGAAAAAGCAGGATACTGGTTTGAACAATGAAGAAGTATTGGTCACAATTTTCGCTTTAAGGTCAAAAGATTTTTACCCGACCAATTTGCAAGGGTTGGTTAAAAAAAATAGGTCAAACTTTTTAATGCCTTATTTTTCTGATTGAAGCTTTATTTAGTACAAGAGTTGACTTCATAACCAAACTCATAGCAATTAGCAAAATCCTACTTTGCTGTAATTACAGCTATACTAGAAACGCGGGTTGACTTCAGTCACCAAAAACAGAGTAAGTACGATCTGTCAGCGGCAATCAAGATTATCTAAAATCTCGTATTTAGGTAATAGTTGTAAATAATCCAGTCATGCATTTTTAATATATAAATAATATTTGGGGGATAACCTCCCTGATCGTCTCACGGTCAATGTAAACTTCTTGTTATTGTTTCCAACGTGTGTTGTCACTTTATTAGATAATGTTATGTGACAGAAGTTAAACTGTCAAAAGTAGGTCACGGAACACCTAAACCGTCACAGATATCATACACCAAGTGCCAGTGTAAAAATTGTTGAATAATTATTGACTCAAACTGGAAATTCATATTTCAATTCCAAATATAATGTATTCTCAAATTTGTGGTTACATCTTGATAAATTCTGATTTAATGCAATAATTATTATTATAATACAAAATAATTCATGAAACTATTAATCATTACAATGTTATATAATATATTTGCCGACTATTTACACTGGAACTGATTTCTCACAATGACACAGGAGAGATGGAAATGCATATTCAATCGGAGACAGGACGGTGATTTCAGCACTGTCTGTAGAAACAGGCATTATTTGACACTGAAACTTTTCTCATGCTGTCAAATTGAGTGAGTGAGTATGATCATGTGGGGAATCGAACAAGGGTCCAGCAACGAGCGGATGCTTTAACCACTAGACTACCCCAATGACCACTGTGAAATTGAAGAACTGCCAATTTTAACATGAAAACACAACATACAGTAACGAGCAGAAAAAATGCGACTTTTCACAGATGTAGTTTCAAAATTTATTAACTGATAAATTCAGTTATATTTTTCATAGATCCACTCTGGATACTGAAGTTTACATTTATGCAAGTCAATAGTCTGTTAGTCCACCGTTTCTCTCGATGCACTGCTGAATACGGCATCCCATGCTGTCAATCAAATTGTCTATGTAGTCCTGGGGTAGGTCCACCCATATTTGACAGATGAGATTAGACCACTCAACGACACTCTTCGGTTCCAACTTTCCTAATTTGTCCCCCATAATCTGCCACACATTTTCAATTGGGTTCAGGTCTGGTGATGCCGCTGGAAATTTCTGTAAAGTCACGTGACTCGTTTTAAACCAGTTACAGGTGTGTCTTGACTTGTGTACAGGTGCATTGTCCTGTAAAAGTTTGAAAGGTATTCCACTCTGTCCTATATGGGATTCCACTATGCCTTCTTGTGTAAGTTGACAGTACTTGCGTGAATCCATCCTTCCTGTAATAGTTAGCAGTGGCGTTACCCCGAGTTTGCCTATACCACCCCAAACCATGACACTGGGTGAGACCTTCGGAACCATTTTCCAGCTACTTCCACCTCTTGACCACCTCTTTCTTGTGATCCTATAAAACTGAAACGTTGATTCATCCGTAAAAATCACATTTGAAAAATCTGTACCCTGCATTTCCCTGCACCACTCGAGCCTTTTCTCCATATGTGCTGTTGTCATCAATGGAACTTTCTTCGGCACTCGCTTGACATATCCAGATTGCTTTAAAGATCTTCTGATTGTCCATTCTGATACCTTAGGGGTTCCTTGACTTGACGCCTTCACAGCAAGCTGTTTTGCAGACCAGTTTGGGTTCGCCGCCGCGAGACACGCGATACGTCGTCTGTCATTTGCCCAAAGAGTAGCACGATGTCCCGATCCAGCCTGTTGCTCTGTCCCTAACCCCGCGTCAAATTTCTTCATAATTTCGCCTTTTTTTATAGTAAGATCAAGTCTACAGAATAAAGTTTTTTGTCGCATTTATTCTGCTCGTTACTATATGTATAGAATGTCATTTCATGTCTTCAGCATGCTGATTTTCAAAATTTTCTTTTAAGTTTTAGGTTATGCAATAACAGCCTGATAACTACAACTGAGTGTTGCTGCCTTTCAAAAAACATGGTAAATCTGACTGCATTATATGACAACAAAGACGTGAAAACGTTTCCAGTCATCCAAAGTTCTAACACAAACGGGTAAAAAGCAACAGAAACACTCGTCAGCTCTGGACAAAACAAAACAGAATTTCACACAAAGCAGCATAAAGTCATAACTGCTGTGCATCAATATCATGACTGAGGTATCTCATATTTTATCAATATTTGACATAATCCTAGACCTTAATATGATTAGTATTGCTTTCTGTGCATTACATCCAATTCTGCATAATCAGGGGTTTTCAAAGCAGTTTCTATTTTCAAGGGTTTCACATTCATTCACATTCTAAGGACACTGAAATTTCTGATTAATTCTTCTCTATATAGGCTGTGATTCAGAGGATTGTCCGATCAAAAACTGATCAACTCATGAGCATGTTCTCAACTGCCATATAGCCAGCAAAATTAGTGTTATGTGTTCCATGCACTAGCAACAAGCCATCAGTTGCCTTTCCTGTTTTTGACCAAAACATGCCCCGAGCAACCTGTATCATCATGGTTATGGAACAACTGGAGCCAAGGGGGTCATGTGTCATAATTAACTGTAACATCTCCATTACAATGTCTTGATTGTGCATTGTTATTTGACCTACATGTACATGTGACAAATATTTTGAAATAGTGAGTATGGGTTACGCCGCTTTTAGCAGTATTCCAGCAATATCACGATGGGGACACCAGAAATGGGCTTCATACATTGTAGCCATGTGGGGAATTGAACCTGTGTCTTTGGCATGACAAGCCAACACTTTAACCACTAGGCTACCCCACCACACCCATATTTTGAAAGAATATGGATAGTACTTTGAGATCAGTTACAAACATGATATCTGTGTTATCTTTCAGATAACTATTTTGATCTTGCAAGACACAAGAACATGTAGACATAATTTCATTCTTAACTGACAAGATAAACCCTGGCCATAAAAAAGGTTTGATCTAAAAATACTATTTCTCTCAACCATGACAGCTATGTATTTGATCAGTAATAAATAATAACAAATGAATCATAAAAGTTAAAAAGATGATCACTGAGGCAAGCAGCTGATTATCAACAAAACGCGACCACAAGTTTTGACCTCTTTATGTACTTAATCACCAAGAATATCCAGATTGAATTGCAACAAAAGGCGAGTAGACTTGCCAGTTCATGTTTACAACTTTAAATCAATCAAACTAAAATGCAAATATCTTACCCTAATAGAACGCCTTCACAGCAAGCTTTGACCGAAACTTCGTGAATGGTATTGGTATCTAACTCGCTTTCGCTCGTTAGATACCAAACCATTCACTCGTTTCATAACATGGTATTACACGGGATATCGTTTAATATTCTCTATATAAGATTCCCTGGGATGAAGCGTTATCAAACTTTGAACACCAATTAAAATGAACAATGCTTGCATTTTAACAACCAGTCAAGTTTTAGCCTTCTTAAACAATACAATTATGTTTATAGGCCAATTTTGTTTGCAAATTTCAATCTCAGCAAATGAATCTACCATAGAACTCAAACAAACACTCAATAGCACATTACTTTGGGTGTTAATAGCACAGACTTTACAAATGACAGCATGTATAATATATCCAACCCATTGCAGCGAGAAGACATGTTTTTGGTACTCGAAATCCCACAAGTATTTTCACCCTTTACTAACAAAGTGAGCTCGGTTTGCTTATAAGTTACCGTATATTACCGTCTATAAGCCGAATTTTGAGGACCAAATAAATATGTCTGTAGAAGGGGGTCGTCTTATCTATGAGATACAATTTCACGGAAATATTTTTTAGCTCGCCAGTGCCCTGCCAGGACGATGTTACAGGTTACCGGTACATCTGCCAGGATTTTTGCCACGATTACAGCATTTATGTTGTGAATGATGAATAAAATACATATTAACCTGTACGTTTTCATTATTTCAACATATTATTACATATTAGTCATTATGACATTTATCGTACAATCAGCTGTGCACACGTTTCCCGGCAATCAAGTTCAAACATGCACAATAATATAGTGGGATGAATTCTGGCACAGTCATCAGTAAAATATAATACAGAATACTATTATTTAACCCAAAGAAATACATCCTAGCATTGTGTAATTTTAATTACAGTTTTTGCACTATAAATGTAAAATATATAATCAACACTAAGGTTATACGGACCCTCATGAACGTGGTAAGTTGTGCGCACATGGAATGGGGTAAAATAAGCAAGCCATTTAAATTCACACATTTTTACCGATGTTACTGTAAACTAGCAGTCCATGGAAAACAAGGCTGTAATAAGCAAGCCAGTTTGTTGACATGTTATCGTCTAACTACTATATGTATGATATTTAGCGAAACAAAATATATTATCCATTTTCTGTCAACTACACTTCATTTCGATGCGTGAGTAGACGCAATATGATTGTGAATTTTTTTAATAATGTGGACCAAAGTTTTAACTTTTGGTAACTGCCAGTTGTCTGTGGTCTGTGTTTGCCGCGATTAGAACCCAATCGCAGGAGGTCGGCTCATGCACGAAACATACCATTTTGACACTAATTTTAAGGGTCAAATTTGGGGGTCGGCTTATCTATGGGGTCGGGTTATAGACGGTAATATACGGTATATCATTACTTCAGAAACTGACACAGATGGGCTGTTTATCAAATTCACCTGACACAACCTCTGGTCTTGACGGTGCCATTATGCCATAGCATTAGGACTAAAAATCTGATTTCAATAATATTGATTTAAATCAAGCTTGATACTTGATAATGTCATGTTCAATAATTTAAGATAGAACTGCTTGATCACAACACCTACTTACACGACACTATGGTACAAAATGTTATCTATGATGACTACAAATTACAATCCATACAAAAACAAGTTCTTTGGCGTCAGCAACAAATACATTTCACACGAGTCAAAATGTACTCAACTGTAAGCAGATTGCCTCGTTTGCATGGATAATATTTTCTCTGATAATGCCAATATCTTCATGACATTGGAACAGTTTCATTCAAAAAAAGATGAAAAGTGACAGCAGCTGACTTGCAGCTAGTTCCATGAGAAAAACGACAGATTTATGCTGAAGTCAGGTGCATTGTAGTTATTTCACAGCAGGATATAAAGGCTCAAGCCTGGGCCAAAGATGCCAGATATTGATGATGCGATGATCCAAGGTGTTGAAATATTTGAAACGTGAGACTTTCAATATCAGTTCACCTCACCCGACAACCTGATTCATAATATCAGTGAACACTTGTTAAACCTAGTGCTTGAGACTATTCCGGCCAAGAATCCCACTTGGTTAAGCAGAAATAAGGTATAAACCTACATACATGAACAAAAGAACATCTCAAAATGAAATTTGTCCAAACCCTTGTGCACAGCATAGGAAGTAATGGACATAGATCTACCATCTATTATGAAGTTATCACAAAGCATGTGGACTTTCTTCCACACCTTATCACTGTTCATTAAGTTACCAATTTCCATGAATTTTATGAATGCAATGCTGAAAATGTTTCACCTTCATAGCTTTCAACCAATAAGAGTGAGTGAGTGAGTGAGTGAGTTTAGTTTCAGTTTCACGCGGCACTCAGCGATATTCCAGCTATATGGCGACGGCCTGTAAATAAGAGTCTGGACCAGACAATCCAGTGATCAACAGCATGAGCATCGATCTGCGCTATTGGGAACTGATGACATGTGTCAACCAAGTCAGCGAGCCTGACCACCCAATCCTGTTAGTCGCCTCTTACGACAAGCATGGGTTACTGAAGATCAATATTCTAAGCCGTACCTTCACAGGTTTCAACCTATAAGAACTTAGTAAAGAGAAAATTACACCAAAGGTATAGAAACAATGCTCATTAGTAATTAAAATTACACTGAGCATTACTCCAACAACATGACAGTGGTCAGTGGAGTTCTGACCAAACAATCCAGTGAATCACATCATGAGAACTGTTCCTAGCAATTACGATGACATGAAATCAAGTAAGTTACAACACTGTCACCACAACAACTGATCAATCGAGTCATCTCTTGAAACCAGCTTTGGTTGTTGGGGACCTATGCTTTGACCTGAAAACACCACCACTGTGGTGCTGCTAAACCCAATATGACATGCTGCTGTGCATGGAGGCATGTTTAAAGAGAATGTTGAAGACAAACTTGGTGGAACTGGAGGAAATATCATACTGATTATTCTAACAAAGGACAAGAGTCTAAGGGCATTTAATTAATTCATCATAATATTACTCATCAGCTGATCAGAACTGTTGTTCCTTAGTGGTCCTCTAAAGCATGTTTGGGGTTTACAAGTTCTAGATTATGTCTGGTATCTTGTACTGACTGACTGAGTTTGGTTTTACGCCGCTTTTAGCAATATTCCAGCAACATCACGACGGGGGACACCAGAAATGGGCTTCACACATTGTACCCATGTGGGGATTCGAACCCGGGTCTTCGGCGTGACGAGCCAACGCTTTAACCACTAGGCTACCCCACCGCCCCTCTGGTATCTTGTAAAGCTATAATTATTGTACAGTTTTCAGATATTAGTCACAGGAAGGTATGCTGTTTCTTCTATAGGCAGTAATAAAACAGTAGAGATAAAAATAAGTTTGATAATGACACCTTGTAGTGAATGGTTTTATGCCACTTCCAGCAATATTCCATTCTTACATCATTGCACATTTGGAAATGCATCTTTAGAACATATTGGATCATAATCAGTCAATGACCCACAATCTGTACTTAACTGAAACTGTAATACTGTTGGGCCTGATGTGTGGTTATAGGTCCATACCATACATTCTTATGGTTTTAGGTTCAAATGATATGACGATGCCATTGAGAATACCCAACTCCAGACTCGAGAGTGGGATACATGACCATATCAGCAAGCATGATCCACATGCACTTTAGTTGCTATTGTTGTTCAAAATCAATTATGAAAGCCATGAATTTACCACAGCAAAGGCTAAAAACAAAATTCTTTTGGACTTCATAATTTGTCATATAGATCATCCTTCAAATCATGCGTACTAAAAACGTAAGTAATTGTTTCAATCATCTCGTTAGTACACCCTTGAACTTACATGTTTCTTCTGTACATAATATTCTTGAATGATCAGCTGTCTTGGTCTGGTTAGACATGAATTACTAATGTGCATTCCAATACATATGATGCAGGAAGAACAGCACTTTACAACACATGTGCCGATCAAGACACCTGGGTCTATATTTCGCTATCATCCACACTAGATTCTTCCAAAAATTTACCATCTTACACCAAATGTGTAATAATCTCCCAAAATATGAATATAGCTGTATATTTGTCTTGATATTGACATTGATTAGGAGATCTCAAGACTTAATTGAGTTCACAATACGCACATTTGAAGCCAAAATATGTCATTCACTTTTGTCAGTTTCCAAATAAGTGGGAGCACGAAATATGACTGATATACCTTTGGGAATAGTTGAAAATCATCTAGAATGTAAAAACTAGTTTGAAGTTTCTATAATTTGCAAAACATGGGCATATTTTTATTGACACATTGCTTTGTCTGACCCCTCCCATTCATTATTTCTTTCTTTGAACCTATCGACCATTACCTGATGCAGATGGGTGTCCTTTCTGTCAGCAAACCTGCAAAAGAATAAAATCGACATTATTACCTTGCAATAGTTGCACATAAACCTATAACTGAGGAATTTTAACGGTTTCCTGAGAAAATTTGACAACAAAGATGGCGGACTGCTCCTGGGGATTTTGACAAGTGGACATTGAAGGGAAAGATCATTACCCATCATTGAGTCTTGGTTGTTTCCTTGCATGCATTACCATTAATGCTACTTAAAAAATAATGTTTTGCAATGCAAAGAAACGTAAACTCGCTGTTTTCGTGAGTTTTTGGGGCACCCTACGCGTCTGCATTCGACCCATTTGACGCCATATTACATCCGGGACATTCAACATTTTTGACACTAAATTATTATCGAAGACAATAAATTTTATAATAACAACACAGTTTGAGTTTTCCAAGTAATATATAGCTACTAGTTTATGTCATATTAAAATAGCTTTCAAAATTAGAAAAATTATAGTCATGTGACTCTCATTGAGCGCCGCAGTGCGGTCAAGGTCACTCTGACATTGGATGAGGAGACAGCAAGTGTTTAATATCTAACTTTTTTCTTGCGTTTTTTCGGTTCTTAACAAATCGTAAACGATTTCTATCATTAGTTTAAATATTCATGCGCATATATATTTGACTTTTATATGAATATTGTCTTTCTTTGTAAAGGTACGTGGAAGAATTTGATTCTCAAAACGGACACCTGCATTTTCGCTTTCCATCATCAATCTTTTCCTTTTCAGTGTCATTTGGTAGATTTAGGGCTATGATAGTTGCTGTACAGTCTGCTTGGGTTATTTACCATAGTTATGTTTGTTTACAGACATACATAGATTTATTTTCAGCAGCATCTGTGTGAATACAAAACACGTGAAACACGTCTACTTGTCGACAAGTGAACCAAAGCAACAGTCTTTCTGACCAGTAAATATGGAGCAGAACTGGTTCAACATATATTTATAAATGGTGAACTAATGCACATTCTGCTCGATTATCATTTGACTGACTTCACATTTTTTAAAGTAATTTAGTTTAAGAGCTTTTGAATTTTGTTGTCTTGACTTTTTATATTAGTATAGCTTAAGAAATGTACACTGTACACCAGTCAGGGAAAAAATCCATATTCCATAATCCAAAATCGAAACTGTATATAGTTGTTCCTGTTCATTACTGTGTATGCTTGATGTATCTGGTACAACAGTGTGACAGCTCTGACCAAGAAAACGGCACACTGCAGATTGGACTTGCCCTCGTGTAGGTTTCTGTATTCTGATTTTGTGTAGGTTACGTTCCTGTATACAGAAATGTGTACACAGAAACATAGCTGGGGTACACATCTGTAGTACCTACACCGAAAACAACCCCTTCAGAATTAGTATACACAAGATGCAAACTTGTTGTAGATTTAACTTCTTATGTGTATGGGTTTTTATACACATACTTTAATCTGAGCTTTCTTGACCAAACCAATTTTTATTGAACTGAAACTTGACCTTTGTAATCCCTATGAAGTCAATACTTTGTCTTACTTTACTCTATGCTGTGATCATAATGGTATGAATGTTTTTGGTAAAATTTCAAGAGTCCAATCCTGTGTCTTATTCCTTGACTGTAATCTTATTGTTTGTTATACCTCTTTTGTTATACCTCTGCAGTGATGGTGTCTGAAGTAATAAGTAGTGAGTGTCACATCAGATCCGTGTCAAATCTTTTCGATTTGTCCAAAATAGCTTTACCACTTCACTTTGATTTTGCTGTAGATATATCAGTACAACATGACTTAAAAGACTCATGAAAGTGCATAAAACAACTGAAACTGATGATCAACTCTCACAGAGTGAGAAATACTAAGAATAGCTACAAAAACATCTCTTTGTCCTCAGATTTGATTAACAACAAATGTAAACAGTAGTGTAAATTTGATCTAATAGGGCTTACTCGGGAATGTTTCTGGCGTGAATAAAACCTGAAATGATAACTAATGATTTTCAGATCAGATTCATGTCACTGGCAGTATTAAATTGGTTTGTTGTTTAATGCAGCACTCAGCAATATTCCAGCTAGATGGCGGTGGTCTGTAAATAATCAAGACTGGACCAGACAATCCAGTGATCAGCATCATGAGCATCAATCTACGCTATTGTGATATGATGACATGTCAAGACTCAACCAGGTCAGCAAGCCTGACCACCCGATCCTGTTAGTTGCCACTTACGACAGGCATGGGCTACTGAAGACCAATTCTAACCGGGGAAGGCATTAAAAATCATGCCATCACATGTTAAACCTAGCATTGCAACTTGTGACTTGGTGATTACATTGGAAGCTTGTGTCAGTTTACATCATTACAATGGGACAATATTTAAAAAGCAGAGCAACCTAATTTCTCATTAAATTTTAGCTATAAACACCAGACAGAATCAACCAATTGTGAAGGGCTAACATCTGTTTGGACAAATTAAATTTGATTTAATATGTAGTTTTCACATGTTTTCATTTGTAGTATTGGCAAATTGTAAGCACACTATCTAGTAGTGAAGATATTGTCACAGTATGATAATACACGGATGCCATGGGTTTAATACGATTTGTAACCTGACACACTACTTTTATTTGAGGTTGATAGTTTTACTTTTACAGCTGATCATTTTTTCAAATTTTAGAGATCGAAAGTGGCATAGTTTAGGGCAGAAAGATAGGATAGAGGGCACTGTGAATGTTATGCTATTTATAGCCCACTGGGAAATACAAGGGAAGCTGGTTTTTGTACTGTTTTGTTTGCCATTTTAAGTTTGTAATTATCGACAGGTTTTTGATACAGAATATCTTGTAATGTAGGGGCGGTGTGGTAGCCTAGTTGTTAAAGCGTTCGCCCCTCATGCCTGGATTCGATTCCCTAAATGGGTACAATTTATCTGTCTCACAGTCCCTGAACCACATCCTACTGCCTAACCCTCCCTGCAATGCTAAAGCCCTAAATGAAGCAAGTCTAGATTCCTAGGTTCTCTCAACTCTCTCAACAAGGTGATCCTTTTCAATAAAAGTGGTTTTATTTGTTACTTTACATATCAAATATATTCAGGTACTAAGAGGGGTGTTGGGTTAGCCTATTGGTTAAGGTGTTCGCTCGTCACGCTGAAGACCTGGGTTCGAATCCCCACATGGGTACAATGTGTGAAGCCCATTTCTGGTGTCACCCCTGCCGTGATATTGTTGGAATATTGCTAAAAGCAGCTTAAAACCCAACTCACTCACTCATTCACACTCAGGGACTAAGTGTTAGTCTATGGTACAATGTGTTACTGTGAAGTACATTTCTGGTGTCCCCTGGCGTGATATTGCTGGAATATTGCTAAAAACTGCGTATAAATATACCCGCTCACTCACTCTTGTAATGTATCATATGTGGTGATGCAGGTTTGGTAAAATAATGAATTGTATCATGAGACTCGTATCAGGATACAATACTGCATCGTCATTACAACACTATTATCCATCTATTGTATTGCATAAACCTGAAGTTTATTGGACAGTCCTAAAAAACTGGTATTGTTCCGGAGACATCCTCAGGGTGCCAGGGACATTGACTTTGGGTATATAATTATATGACGAAGGATTTATTGGGGACTAAACCAAGTGTCCATGATTGGCAGACTATAAAAAGGAAATGTTTTGGTCCAATTTATTTTGAGGTGAGGTCAGGTGAAATTGGGTTTAACGTCGTACTTGAGAATTATTCGCTCATATGACGGCGTGCATGCATGTGTATGTGTATATGCGGCTGCTTGTACTAGCCCAGACTGAAGCTGGTTTTATAGTGCTAGCCCACTGAGATACCATGCCACAGTGAAGCATGAATACCCCACTCAGACACATTATTCTGACTCCGAGCCCACCAGTCCTTGTACCCATTAATGCCGAGCGCCAGGCAGGGACCAACAAGTACCATATTTTAACGTCTTTTGGTATGACGCGGCCGGGATCGAACCCGCGATCTTCCGCTCTCCGGGCAGACGCTCTAACCACTACACCACGGAGGCGGTCACAATTTATTTTGAAGGGAAAAATGCTGTCTGGTGTCAGTGTGAGATGAGACTTTTAAAATATATAAGGATTGGGTTTGGTTAACAATGGATTTCTTCAAAAACATTTGGTGAAATACAAGAGTTCAGGTAGCTGACCCTGAGGGTTGTAAAGTGATGCAATTGAAAGACGCAAGTCAGAAAGAGATGTATTCTTAAATCAAATCTTTCCTTTCCTAGTAGTTAAAACATTCATTTGTCACGCTGAACCACGAAGACGCAAGTCCGATACCCCACATAGGTGCAATGCGCAAAGCCCATTTCTGGTGTGACCCTATCATGATATTGCTGGAATAATGCTTAAAGTGGCGTAAAACTAAACTCACTCCTTTGGTCAATTGGATAGATTTTTTTTTTTTTTAAATTTGAACAAGTACAAGTACATTCTTAAAGTCCATTTGTAACATCTGTTTGTAACTTTTCGCACATTTCTTGCACAAGACAATGTAGTCCGTTGAGAAAGCATGTATATGTCAGTCTCCACATAGAACCATTTCTTAGCCTTTATTAGACTTGTATGTTGTACCTGTCTGATTCACCCTGTCGTTCTCCATGATGATGTATTGGAATATGACCGATTTTTTTGTAGTAAAAATTTCCTTTCATTACATCTTGTATCTAAGCAGTGATATATTTGTCATCCCAAAACTTACAACCCCATGACAATGAAAGCTTGAAAGAATGAGGAAGTGGGACTTGACAGTTTTAATAGACGTGTTACCTGTGTTGTCATATATTTTACATGTTTAACTGGCAAGCATGATCTACAAACCTGTTTTTTGCCACACCTTCAGATGTCTTTTTGGTGATAAATCTCTGTGTGTGACTTGTTAATTCCATTGTGGAAGAGAATGCATCAATTAAGACTTTAAATGATGTAATGGATGGAAAAGTTTGACATGTCTATGATGAGGCAAATTAATTTACATGTATATCAATATCATGATATTGACTGCTTGACTCATGTCAGTTCCTAAGTTATTGGTAAAATACTCCTCTGGCTTTGTCTAAAATGTAAAACCTGTAGCAAAGGGTCCAAACCTGGGGTTTTACGTTTGAAAAAGAGGTGTTACTAAACCAAGAAATACCAGATGAATAAGAAAACATTGGGCTACCCTTTGACTATAATGAAACAAAACTGCAGTTGTGATTTATAACAAATTTGATAACAGCAAGTGAGAGAAAGACAACATGCAGTTTCTTTTCTGGTGCATGTTAACAATGGCTGGTGCAGGTTACCTT